GAAGAAGAAGAAGAAGAAGAAGAAGAAGAAGAAGAAGAAGAAGAAGAAGAAGAGGAAGAAGAAGAAGAAGAAGAAGAAAAAGAAGTGATAGAAGAGGGGTGAGGGAGAGAAGAGGGGGCGGATTATTTAGTTAGCACCGGGGGGGGGGAGGTAAGAAGAATAGACAAGCACCGGTACACGGGAGAGAAAGAATGAAGCTGGACCTGTCAGTGACAACTACTCCTAACCATCCGCTCGTTTTACTAACAACGAATTGTACTAACCACAGGGGCTTCACATCATCATAATTATGAGGCTTCGCCAATTAGAAATACCGAAGTCTAAAGAGAAGCCCGGAAACTGCTCTCACCGAGAAGTTGAAATGAAACTTTTAAACGCTCAAAATGAGGCAAACTCTTCGCTCTAGGATTGAACTCATTGATTATAGCAGAAGTCTCAAATTATCTTAATCTTAATTCTTATTTCTCATCAAGAAATGATCTGAAGATACATTGGTCATCGTAAGACATTGACGGACGAACTATCATTACTAATGTGAAGACAAAAATAATGAACAAAGAGGCGTTACCTGTAAAGTTTCAACACACTTTTGGAGAATCAATTTGCCTTGGGAGATAGTAAGGTAATGCAGATCTATGTTCCAAGCTACGGTCTTTTATTTTGTGTCTGCGAGCAGGAATGTAAATCACTTCGTCACCATCAACCCATTGAATAAATTTATACGCTGAAAAAAAATCCATTATCCTCAAATATATCACACATTAATTATAGCTTTGCCAAAAATAATAATACTGATGGCCTTGGACACAAGGATGCAAACTGTGACGTTACAAATATGTCTGTTTTTTTATATTTCTTAATGTTATGTTCACACAATGTGCTTTTTGTAAACGAAACAAACAAACAAGTCCTTTTCGACTGAAACCTTGTGAAATCTTTTGACACTGAAATTACGTTAACAGTAACACATTTATCCTGAAGTGAGGATTTCATACGGACTGTCTCCCGTTTGAAACATAGCGCAGTTCCAAATTTGACTTTTTAGCGCCGTTTCCACATTGATAATACGGGGAGCCCACTACAGATGGGATCGCCCGATCGGCCTGATCGCCCGACTCGATCGCCTCAAAAACAAACGTGTTTGTTTTCAGTTTCAGGCGATCGAGTCGGGCGATCGGCCCGATCCAGCCGTAGTGGGCACCCGGCCTACGTTGTATTTTACTTGGGATACTATTACAGTATTATCTTAGGCTTGACCAAAGCCGCGCGCTAGCAGAGCCAAGCACTTTTTTTTTTACAATGTCGACATAATTAATTTAATTGTTGACTACCAGTACCAATACAAGCCAGCGGTTTAACTCCCCTCTGCGTTTTACTGGACTTGGACCCACCCAGCAAACACGGCTGATGTAATGAAGATGGACACTTACTTTTATGGAAATAGTACAACTACAGGATAATATAACCGTTGGATGGTACTGACATTCAAATTGTATCGATATCGTTAAAAAGTGCACGGCTCTGATATTGTGTGGTTTGGATGCCCCCCGCCCCCCACCCATCCACCCGAAAGTGCGAGAATCTGATGCTTTTCCCATACGGGACTGGTTCAAAACTGCCGGAGTAAGGGAAATTTTAGTTCTCTCTACAAACATTTTCAACTTATTCTCTGACAGATTCGTGGCAGTGGGTGGATAGTGGGCGCTGTGGTACAGTTTACGCCTTTTTTCTATCAAACATCTATCGTCAATATCTCCCCTCCTTCTTTCTTATCAAACATCTGTCGTCAATATCTCCCCTCCTTTTTTATCAAACATCTCTCGTCATTGTTTTTCCTCCTTTTCCCCTATTAAACACCTATCGTCATTATCCCTCCTTCTTTCCTGTCAAACATATGCCGTTATTATCTATCTCTCCTCCATCTTCCCTATCAAACATCTATCGTCAATATCAGCTTTCCCTTTTCTTTCCTTTGCATTCTACTCTCTTTGCATTCTCGAAATGTTTCATTAGTAATTCATACAGCAGAACAAGGGATACTGACAATGTTTTCTGATCGACATCGTTCTATCTGATGTCGAAAGGACATTCAATATCTATCAGTTGCGCCAAACACATACTCTGTAATTCAGGATCTGAAATGAACGTACATAATAGCTGCAATGTGATACTTCGGACAATGATTTCTATCTCTGACCATAGCAGTACCGAGAGCGTTTATTGTTACTGCACTGTTAGTTTATTGTTTGTTTATATTACACAATAGAATTTCACGCATACCAGCGACGCTCAAAATGGGGGAGGGGGGGGGGATGGTGAAATGATATATAGGTTTAACGCCCCTATCAACACTGTTAGGTTATTTAAGAGGCGGTCAAAGGAGGGGTGGCGGGGTCTTGGTTACAACACAGTCTGTGTATATCGCTCTACTAGGAGTGGTCTGATGAAATTAAAAAACTGTCTTTTATTTTTTGAGATTTTTCTTTTAGTTTGCCGTAAAATTTGACTTCTGATATTTCCACCATCCTGGTAGGCTATGTTAAAAAACAGAAGTAAAAAAATTTACCTAAGCTTTCACAACACCATCGCAATCAGACTTCCAGTTTCTAGAATGTGGACGATACATACGGTAGATCCAGAGCAGATCTTTTGGCCCATAAGCGTTCACAGACACAGTCATCATGGATATTGATGGCACAAGAAGAGGTGTGCTTTCAGGCTTTCACGTTTCTTCTTCAAGTGCCAGATCTGAAGTACGTCATGCTAAAACATCTAATATAATTTCTTTATTATATCTTTTTTGTTTTGTTATTTGTTACAAGTTTCAAAGATGGTAAAAGAAATTTCCTTTTAAGCTGGTAACCTTAAATTGCGATTTGGAATTTCACGTTCCAACAGATTTGATAAAAATGATGGCACATTATCTTCAAGAATTTATGACATAGAGTGGCCAATTTTTAAACAATTCTTTTCTCAGTAGAAAGCCAATGCAGTGTCTGTAAAATACAAATGTAGGTGTAACAGGGTTTTGGTTTCTTTTCTGTAAAACTAAACGTGCAGCGTTATTTTGGACAATTTGTACGCTTTTCACTTTTCCAGCGATATTTCTTAACACGGAGTTACAATAATCAAGTCTTGATAAAACTAAGCTAGTTACTAATAAAGCAGTATACTAAGTATGGATTTCATGACGTGTTTTCTCTCTCTGATTTTTCTTATTAAAAAAATAAGCAACTGATCAGGTAAATGAATTCAGTCGACATTGATCAAACTGGAATCAAAATAGATGCCAACATTTTTAATTTAAAGAAAGAAGCAATTTCCGCATCATTAATTTTTATGTGATCCTTGTCGTCCTCATTAATACATTATTCACTGCTTCCCAGAATGACTTCTGTTTTATCATGATTCACAACAATTTGTGTTTGTTCATCCCGTTTTTCAATGAAACAATACAATATTCAGCTCGAGCACAGCGTATATTCTAAGCAGACTAAAAGAGGAGTCAGACAAGGATGGGTTATGTCACCAGACCTCTTTAACATACACAGTGATGTAATCCGTTAATAAAGAAGAAAGTACAGGCCTAAGAGTGAATGGTGAAAATATTATTAATATAACATTATGCCAATGACACAGTTTTAATTGTAGGTTCAGAACAAGACTTTTAATTGCTTCAAGATAGTGTTGAGATGGAAAGTGAACGTGAACAGTTACTGTTGAATGTGAAGAAGACAAAAAACATGGTACATGTAATATAGCAGTAAATCCAATTTGTAATCCCATAGGCAAAGATGAAAAGATCACACAAGTGCAAAAGGTTACATGATATGAAATGTGGTTCCTACCTGTAATCTCATAAGCAAAGACGAAAAGATCACATAAGTTCAAAAGTTTACATGATATAAAATAATATGGTTACATCAAATGCCAAATATTCTCCAGAAAATTCGAAGAATTGCAGTGTAAACACAGCTTCAATAAAAAGAGTCCAATCCTGAAAGATACCAACATCTCCTGACTACTGGTACTCAAATAGAAGGGATATAAAGGCTGCGTGTGGTCATCCTGTCCGTGCTGTTGAGATAACTTAACAACTACCAAAGACAGTGAAAGAAAATAGAACCTATATAGTCAAATTTCTATGGAGATTTTGGGGGGAAATTTCATGGAAAGAAAAGAAATCAAACGAACAAGTACTCAAAGTAGTCTGCCTGTGCTGCTCACTAAATATTTTTTTTAAGTTAAGGAGCGACAACCGCAATTTTTAGGACAAGTGAATCAACATAAATGGCGGGAGCATCTTGTTCTCACTGAAAAAAATAAATGCCAACGAGGCAGGGGTAGATCTAGAGCAATGTACTTGGAAAATCTGAACAGACGGGTGACGCAGAAAGATCTGGACAATAAAAATTATGAGTTTTCTTTTCCCTTTTTTTTCAGAAGATACGGGCAAAAAATTGGAAGACAGAATGGGATAACCATGTCTTTTTGTAGATCGGCTACGTTATGGAGATGAGTATCAGTGTGGGTGGAAGTGTCAGTGTCAGTGTTAGTGTTAGTGTCAGTGTGAGTGTCAGTGTAAGTGTCAGTGTTAGTGTCAGTGTCAGTGTCAGTGTCAGAGTGAGTGTCAGTGTCAGTGTCAGTGTCAGTGTTAGTGTCAATGTTAGTGTCAGTGTCAGTGTTAGTGTCAGTGTTAGTGTCAGTGTCAGTGTCAGTGTCAGTGTCAGTGCGAGTGTCAGTGCGAGTGACAGTGTCAGTGTTAGTGTCAGTATCAGTGCCAGTGTGAGTGTCTGCGTCAGTATCAGTGACAGTGCCAGTGTCAGTGTCCCTGCAAATGACAGTGTCTGTGAGCCTGCATGAATAATCACAGGTACTATAGTTACAGCGATGACAATCTTACATTTAGTTATGAACAGTGAAAAATCCAGATAACATGACATAAACCAGTGATTTCATTTTGTGAAAAATTCATTTATGCTAAGAAAATATCTTTTATGATCTGGATGCTGCAAATAGTACAAACATAAAGATAGCAATATTACGTACATTGAATATAATTTAAAAATCAGAAAGCCGAAGATTGGTCAGCAGAGAAAGTTTCCATGGGAATGCGGAAGTTATAATAATAATACTCATGATCTCAATAACAATAATAATTACAGCAATAACAATAACAATAAGAACAGTTTAGAAGAAGCAGCAAGCGCCGTGATTGCTAGTCTGTCAGTTGAGCATAGATGTAAGCGTTTGTTTTGCTAGTCTGCCGGGCGAACACAGATGTGAGCGGTGGTTTTGCCAGTCTTCCGGGCAAAACTCAGATAGAAGCGTTGTGGAGCTCTGCCACCAGTTTGAGGAAGTAGGTCTGAGACCCCCACAAGGGCAGATCGGTGGACACAGTTTGCCACGTCACATAGTTTGAGTCGTGGCCGGCCTGTCAACACACAGACAACAACACGACGTTGAACACACAGACAACATGATGGTGAACTCACGAAGACAACAACGACAGTTTGGTTTTATAGCTTGTTCATTTTTGTCTGTCTGCAGTTAAAACAAAATAGAAAGAACTTGCTCAGTTTTATCTTCCCTGGTTTTTGCATGCGGGTCGCAAAGTTGGATGACAAACAGATTCTAAAAGAACATTTATGAACTAAGGTTCTGACATGATTTCTCTTTGTTGTTAGCCTATATTTGGTGGGGGAAAAAATAATACGGATTTACAGCCTTGGTCGGAAACTTAAACTATCTGATCTGTTTTAATCAACACAACACTTTATTTCATACCTATCAAACATAGTCCAATCCAACAGGTAGGAGAGAGTACTTTTTGAGGTTCACATAGAGATGTCAGGATAGTCTAAGGAAGCAAACTACAAGCTTAAACAGCGATCTGGTGTGGATTGCTCCGTCTTTACTATCATACATCTATCATCTTTTTCGCTCCACTTCTTTTCTTTGTTTGTTACTCTCTAGTAACATCTTTAATCTTCAGCACTAATATGAACTAACAGTGGTTGCAGTTAGCGAAAAAAGTCTGACAAAAACTAAAGACTATGACGTCACTCACCAGAATGTTGATGTTACGAAAGATGGCGTCGTCCTCGGCATGGAAGTTCGCCACAGTCGTCTCCACCCAAGCGTTGTCCGTGTTGAGGGGCACGTCTGCGTACCCAGTGTATACCTGAGAAATAATAAAAATAATAATAATGATAGTGATATTAATAATAATAATAATAGTAATAATAATAATAATACTCGTTATACTACCACTTCTACTACTGCTGCTACTACTACTACTACTAATATTAACAATGCTACTTCTACTACTACTATTACTA